ACTCAAATCCGGTTTCGCCTCTTTCTTCAATTCGGTTTAATTACCCAAGATTTAGAGAGTTTTGTGATGACCATATTGGCTCGGAAATTAAAGTTGCTCAAAAACTAATAACGGATTCAGATTCTCCATCCCAGAATGCCTCCGGCTACAAATTTTCAGATCTACAGCTAACAGCTGTCGTCCAAAACGGCAGTCAAACCAAAAATGACTTTGTCGTGAATGTGCTAATAAGAAGATCCAAAGCCAAAGCGAATATTCAGGTGCTGTGAACGTGCTACTCGTTACGCTGCGTCATGACGAAATTTTGAGGATATTACGTGAAAAATTTCGTGGGATTAAGGGAACTCAACCATTGAGTAAGTTGCTTCAGATAAGTGCTGGGGTTTTATGATTAATAGTGAACTTTGAACTTTGTGTGTAGCTTTGTGAACAAAGAAAGGACAACTGGATAGGCTGGCCAAATGACAGGCAAATGACAAAAGGCACGGAGCTAAATGACCGTTCGACGCAGAATTTCACGCTGAGCACGATGCTGCTTTCCGTTTTTACTAAATGGCACTTTGTCAAAAGTTATTAGGTTTAAAAGAAATTTCGCTCCTTATAAAATGTTCCATTTTTTTTCATCTGAAAATCTTATTTGATTTTCTTTTGTATCCTTGTACTCTTGGATATTCACTTTATTTTTATGCTTCTTCTTCTAAAACTTTCACTTTTCAATTGAGATTTCCTTTAGATCATGGTGGATCAAAAGCATGTTGTGCGTGTCTTCTCTACGATTTCAAGATGAGCAAAAACGCTGCCGAATCACATCGTGATCTCTGTTCCGCTTTTGGAGAACAAGTTATGACCAAAAAATCCTGCCAGCTCTGGGGTCCCCGATTCCGAGAAGGTATTGAATCTCTTGAAGACGAACCACATGAGCATCACTCGTCAACGATCGATGATAATAAATTGGAACGAGTTATTGGAAGCCGAATTGGATGCTGATTCAATGCAAAAAAACACAAGAGCTTGCCAAACATCTCCAATGTGATCAATCAACAATTCTGCCATTTGGAAATAATCGGAAAGGCCAATCGTAATGGACGATGGGTTCCACACAAATTGAGTACCGAGAATCTGGGAGCACGCGTTTCGGTCAGCCATATCTTGCTACTCAAGTCGAAAAGAAGCCACTTCTTGAGAATATCTTGACGATGAACGAAAGGTGGATTCACTTCGATAAGGTTATAGTCGATCAAAAGAATGTTGTGCGCGCGTGTCTTCTCTACGATTTCAAGATGGGCAAAAACGCTGCCCAATCACATCGTGATCTCTGTTCCGCTTTTGGAGAACAAGTTATGAACAAAAAATCCTGCCAGCTCTGGGGTCCCGATTCCGAGAAGGTATTGAATCTCTTGAGGACGAACCACTTGGGCATCGCTCGGCAGCGATCGATCATAATGAATTGGAGCAACTTATTGAAGCCGATTCAATCCAAACAACACGAGAGCTTGCCAAACATCTCCAATGTTGCTTAAATCGCAAGAATGTTGACCAAATTTTGGATCAAAAGGGTTTAAATCCCTCGATTGTCAATTTTCTCTGTGATAACGCGCCAGCTCACACAGCGAAAGCGTCTTGTATGGAGTTAGAGGAATGGAAAGTCTTACCGCGTGCGCCATATGGTCACTTATGGCCATCTGATTTTCACCTCTTCAGATCAATGCAACATTTCCTTGCGAATTGCCAGTTTAAGAATGCGCAAGAGGTCGAGATTTGGGTGACCGACTACTTTCAATCACAGAATCAAGAGCTCTTCGATAAGAGGATCTACGATCTGAAGCAACGTTGGAGGGATTTTATAGATCTTGATGGTGCTTATTGTTTGGAATTAATTTGTTACCTAAAGGAATTTTGATTCAATTCAATGCTTGTAAAAAAAACGAGATTTCTTTTGCATCAACATAGTATACGCGTTGAAAGTTTTGTAAAGAGTTTCAAAAATCAAACATAGACCTTGAAACCGGACTTTTCCGATACAGAAGATTTGCAGGGGCCACCCAATTGGTAGTAGGCTAGAATACAAGGCAAGACCTCCAGGGTTCGAACCCGTCAGCTGTCTTTTTGTTTTGCTTTCTTTGAGTTTAAATGGCTTATGTGTTCTCCGCTTGGAAGTCGTTATTTTTAGCCGATTTTAAACATTAATTTTTAATGGTCTATGGCTTGTCATTTGGCCAACCTATTCAGTTGACCATCGCTTGTGAGTGTCATTAAAATTAGCAAAAACCCAAATCAATCCAAATCTATGATTTGATTTTAAAAAAAACAATAGAAGCTGCTTAAAAATAAAAGTCTTAGGCACAGTGGTCACCTCAACAAACATTCGTTCATCAAAAACGCCTGGGTGCCGTCTCTACTAGAATTGAATTGAAAAACAGTGAATAAATACTTGTAGATAATTTTGCCAAACAAAAGCGACAAAAGAAAAACAATACACGGCGCGAAAAAAATTGACGCAAATGATATGCAGAGCAAATGATTTGGCGCTTTTGCTAGCACCTCTTGTAAGCATTTATTATTCAACAATCAATCATGCGGTGGAAATCATTGTTATACTAGGTTGAGGAAAAAATCCTTCCTCAGTGGCGAAAAATTCAATTTTTATGCGGACTTTAATAACAAAAATACAAACAATTCTTCCTCAAAGTATAACCTACCGTAAATACCGTATTTACTCTATTAGTGGGGTCCTCTCTAATAGTGGGGTCCTCTCTAATAGTGGGGTCGTCTGGAGGGGGGTTGAAAAAATAGTGGGGTCCTCTCTAATATTGGTAACGAAAGTGATACATCAATTGTTGATCTCTTGGATTAGTTCTTTTACTGTTTGTTAATGTTTTGTTACGGTTAAAGCTAAATAAAATATGAAGCCAAACTTGTTTTGTCAAGAATTTCGGAGAAAAATTGATATCTTTTCAATTTAAAACTTTGGTTTTATGTTCTTTTAAATTTCTCTAATAGTGGGGTCCTCTCTAATAGTGGGGTCGTCTGGAAGGGGATTGAAAAAATAGTGGGGGACCCCACTAATAGAGTAAATACGGTACTGTAATATTAGGTTGATGCATAAGTCTTTTCGTTTTTTTCGTACTTCTGTTAAAAAGTAACAAATTCACCAATTAATCTATAGTTTGCTCTATAAAAAAAGTGTTTTTTTGTTCAATTTGCATCTTTTTAAATGAATTTCGGTTCACTTTCAAGCAAATTCGAGAGTGAAAAACGCCTTTTTCGTAAAAATCTATAAAAAACTCTACGGAAAAATTGGCTGAATGAATTTCTCTGAAATTTTGGCGAAATATCAAACGTTTTTTTTTCTCTATCTTTTATCTATTGACACGAAGATAGGTTTTCTTTAGCTAAGGTGTCTAAACCGCATCATCGAGTTAGCCCTTTTTGACTACCCGACTTCATACTCTCAAGAAAATCCAGGCATTAAATATTTTTAAACCCGTTTTAATGTTATTTTGCAGAAAAATAATTGGTTTTTCTAATGAAATCAACCGTAGTTTAATTGGTGCATTTGTTGGCTTGAAACGGCAGACGAAAAGGAACAAAAAGACTTATGCATCAACCTAATAGTACCCCACCCCCATAATGACGGTGCGGAGTCTTGCGCAGTCTAGCTTTGAACGAGTTTTTCTCGACACTGGTTTATGCTACAATGTTCGCTTAGGTATCAAAAAATAGCTGAAATTCAGGGCTATTTTTTGATACCAAAGACGCTTTTTTTGAAAGTACGGGCGCTTTGAAAAAAATGTAATACTAAAAAAATTTTGCGACTACGCGACTGTACGAGGAGGGTGGGGTCCAATTACAGTATTTACGGTATATTGTGATACCAGCCGAGAAACCCGCCTAATAGTGGGTTTTTCTGGATGTTTTGGGAATACAGGATGTTTTGTTTCGCCGTCGCCGTGGAGCAGTGGATAGCGCGCCGGTCTCTCGTTCACACGATCAGGGTTCGACCTCCCCGTGCGACTCGAGTTGTGCTTTTTAAAAATTCCAAAAGCACGTTGCACAACTACATGTAATTCCCTATTCAATGGCGCAAAAATCATTGCAAATGGTCCTCTGGGAGCTGAGGAGTAGCGCGCACAGACAGAGAGACAGACAGACAGACAGACAGACGGATAGACAGACGGTCCTCCGCGACTCGGGTCTGGACAATTATTGGACCCCAAATTCTACGTGATCTGGTTGACAGCATGCCAAGGAGTATTCAAGCAGTAATTGCGGCTCGCGGATGACCTACTAAGTATTGATTTTCATAATGTTTTTCTCACATGTTAAAAGACTTTTGTCCATCAATTTTTGGCTCAATTTTTGTTTTATTAAAAAGTTCATGAAAGTTCATGACCTAATAAATTGTAAAATCCATCTTTTTGTAAGGTTAAAATTAGAAATAAGAAGCTCTTTAAATCTTTTAACCGTTTGCAAATTGGTCGGATTTGGATCAAGATATACAAAGAACAAACTTCGAGAAACCAACCTTAAAAGACTTTTGTCCATGACTGTATGTAATTTGTGAGATAGTAAGTTATCCGTTCTCAAAAATCTCAAACTTGTATTCTGTGTATGGCTCTTAAACGAATTTCAAAAATTCCTCTTTAGCGACTTGGATCTCTTTGGAAACACAGAGGATTTTAAAGAACAAAGAAAACAGAAAAATAAAGATGATGAGTGGTGGCTCAGAAAGTTCAGCAATTTCGGCAAAAGCAAAGTCCAAAAGGTCTCCTCTTTGGCAACAGAATAGAGGAATTTTTAAAAGCTTTTTTTGAATGATCTCGCGAAAACGAGACCAACTAAAAAATTCACCAAAAAAAACCGGCGTCAATGAGCAATTTTCTCTTTTCTTTGAAGATTTTTGCGTTTTTCTTTTCTCAATGAAAGAGGGTACAGTATTTAGAACCCCAAAAAGGCATTTAAAGAATTCAGAAATTTTACATTTGCTCATTTTCGCACAAATGTTTTACAAGCTTTTGTTAGTTTTGATATTCTTGATTGGGCTACGATGGGATTTGGTGAAAAGTCAGGTAAAAGAAAAGCAAAAAAGCAAATTCTCCGTTTTGTAAAGAGATTCAAAAGAAAATTCAAGTTTTCCATAAGCTCAAACCAAAGAAAAACAAAATTTACAAAAAAAAAAACGACGAAAGATTTCTCTTTTGCTTTGTAGATGATGTAAAAAGAAGATGTTCAGCTCTAAAGTTGTACTCGCGGGTTTTCGGGAACGGGCAATCGTTTAAAGCTATTCATTTCACTGAGTTTAACAAGTGGAACTTGAGTTTGATTGAGCTAAACTTTTAGAATTGGAACTTGGCTTAGGCTTAGGTTTAGGCTTAGGCTTACGCCTAGGCTCAGGCTCAGGCTCAGGCTCAGGCTTAGGTTTAGGCCTAGGCTTAGGCTTAGACTTAGGCTTCGGTTCAGGCTCATCAAGCTTAGGTTTAGTCTTGGACTCAGGCTTAGGCTGAGGCTTAGGCTTAGGTTTAGGCTCAGGCAATCAACTCTCCAGTTCTTTTAGGGTCCAAATCCATATCTACCGCCGTATGGTTGCAATAATTTTGGCTCGTGCAAGAAAGCTGGGATTGCGTAAGTTTGCATTGCTCGATTTGCATTTTCGATTAAACTTTTGCAAATCGTCTCTACTTCAGTTGGACTGGGATTGATCCATCAACAGATTACTACTATTGCACGTCGTCGATCTATTGTCTATGCAATAATGGAACCTCTGGCGATAATTGTACACAAGGTTCTCAAAATTTGCCTGAGTGTGCGATGATATGTTGATGAGCTTTAGTTGATGATATGTGTGCCTGCAATCCGTGTACTTCTGGAATTTGCGAAGCTGGGATTGGTACATACTCTTGTGTTTGCCCGGCCAATTTTACTGGAGATGATTGCGAAATGGGTGAGTAAAAGCTGAACATTGTTATTCTGTGTAAAACTGGTTTTTTGGTTTGATTTTGGTTTGATTTTGGTTTGATTTTGGTTTGATTTTGGTTTGATTTTGGTTTGATTTTGGTCTAAGATTTGCTTAATCATTAACTTTCAATGGTCACTTTCTTTGCTTATTTAAAGAAGCTTGAGTTAATCTCATATAATCTCAGCGGCAAAGAAAAATAGTTGAATCGTAAAAACGTAAGTATTTTGGATTGAAAATCCATTTATCTGGAACTCAATATTGCTCTTTCTTTTGGATTTTTACAGATTGTTCATATCTGATGATTTAATGAGATCAATCTTAATCATTTCCAGTTTCCAGGTTTAGTTTCCAGGTCTAGATGATGGCTATATCAATAGTCAGTCCTGGGATGGTTTGACCAGATCCTGGTCAGAGCTAGTTTGATCAGTATCTGATCTAGTTTTAGGCTCAAGACTTGCTACTGATCTGATCTGGCTAACATAGATAACTAGATATCGTACTAATTTGACTTAAACGTCATGATATTCAATTGAATTTTCATTTTCGAGAATGTTTCTGCAATTCTCCGTCGACTTTAAGCATTTGTTTTCTTGTCTTAAGCCATCTATTTACGATTTTAATCGCATACATTCACTTTCACTTTTGTATTTTCGACTTTCGCGGTTACTAATTCCGAACTTTGCAACTGGCTTTTTCTTTTCACTTTAACCGTGACTTTTATTCCTCATTTGACTCGAGGGATCTCCATTGAGGAGAGCCCAACAACCTTGGTTTAGCGTAGACTGGTAACAAAAAGATCTGTCGGCCTTTTTTTTTTTTGCAATCTAACGTTTTTTGTCTTTTTCTCAGCAACAACTCTTCGATTTTGGCTATTTTGACTATCAGTCGATGCAGAATAAAATTGCGCGTCGAATGATACTAAAATTGACTCATATAATATCCACGAAAAGTTATGAGACAAAAGGTTAAGTCCCGCTCATAATGAGTCCAATTTGACGTAGATGTCATAGCATCCGATAGTCGTAGTCATAGAATCCGACTCTTCCTTGACATCCTTGTTAACTTTTAGAGATCGATTCACCGTGCGCATCAAGCCCATGCTTGAATGGTGGTGAGTGTTCGTTGAATGCAACCACATACGAGTGCCAATGCTCGGATCCTTGGGTTGGAGATCGATGCCAGTGTAGTGAACTTTTCAAATTTTAAACTGAACTATTTAGATATTAACACATGTCTCCAAAATCCATGCGTAAATGGTGGAGTTTGTCAGGTAAAAAACTTCCAAAAACAGCTATCATCAAGTTTTAGCTGATATTTCACGGAGAAGATTATTATTGTCAATGCTCGATGGAATGGCAAGGAAGAAGCTGCAGTCAATCACAAACAACTTGTTCGTTTCTTGTACATTTTCAAACAATTTTTTCAAGAAACACCTCTTTTTAGTCAATTTCAAGGATCTCGGTTGTGGATCAATTCAAAATAATGTGAGTAGTTGATGAAATTTTTGCTAAAACTAAAGCTAAGCTAAATCTTTTAGGGATTGGACGGTCTAACAAAGGTTGACTTGGGAGATGCGCCAACGCTTGACGCTTGCAAACAAGCTTTCTCCGATGCAGTCTCTGGTGGTGCAAACTATCAGTATTTCAGTGCGTTACAATTTATTTGATTACAAATTAAAGTACCGTATTTTCTGTAATAGTAGTGCGCACTACTATTTTTTTTTTCAACTCTCCTGCAGCCTGCACTACTATTAGAGAGTTGTAGTAATTCCAGAACTCTTGAAGGAGTGCTTGCTTTGATCAGATGCTTCGGCAGCGCATTTCAGGCATTCCAAACCCATGTCAAGTAAATTTCCATCGGTGGTGTAGCGGTATTCCCTCCTTGGAGGCCTCCATTGACCATCCATTCTTCATATTGTGCTCTAATATTTGCTTCAAAGGGAGCGTTCCACGCGAGATCAGGCGCTTGGATGTAACAGCTTTTCTTCTTTGATCCTATCAAATGCTCGGATGGTGTCATTTTGTGTTTTCGAGAAGGTTCCTCATCAGGTTCCTCTTCGCCAGCTGCTGATATGTCGTCAGCGATACCGGCTTCATTTGCATCCAAGTTGATTTCATCTTGGCAACGAGGCAACAGACACGAGAAAATCCTCTTGGCATTGAGCGTTCCAATCCCGAGCATCCTTTTCGAATGTTTGCTTTCTACGAAATTCTTGCGAGGGTTTATCGGAATCGCCGTCGAGTTCCATTTCTAAAAAATCAAACTAAAAAGAATAAGAAAATGCTTGTAAGTTAATAGAAGAAGTAGTAACAATCTGTCAAAAAGTTAGTCACAATCACAATCTATTAGTCAGTACTAAAGAACTAGTCAAAATCGCATAAGGACATCTGATCTAGCTACCAGTATGCTTTTAAAACAAAGAAAGCCAAAATAAACAAAAACAGAGGAGATTTTAGTAGGGTGCACTACTATTTTTTCAACCTCCCCTCTGCCTGCACAACTATTATAGACTGCACTACTATTACAGAAACCAGGATATCTATTTTATCTATCTATTTTAGCAATCATGGGCTCCGGTTGTTGGCTTTCAAAGGATAAACCCTCACAGAAGGGCTCAAACAAGGATCAATGCAATGCGAAATGCAAAGAATCGGCCTCGATAGGGAATCAAATTTCTGGATATGATGGGTTTGTGGGGGAAATTTAACATGAGAAACGGTAACCAAAAATATCTTCGATCTTTTAGAGACGATCAGATTTGTGGGAAACAGGATATGTTTGGGAAATATGCGCACAGTTACTCTTATACATCAACAAGTGAGTTCATTTGGTTTAGCAGCATATTGATAAGTTATAAAATGATCAAAATCTCACAATTTAGGTGAGCCACAGCAATGCCCGAATCTCGATTGCTCACCCGGCGTTTGCATTGAGTACAATAATTTTGCGAATTGTTCGTGCCCTCGAGAGCGATTGCCTGGTCCAGATGGCAAGGATTGCTCAGTTGGTAGGTTTATTTAGTCACAGATTTTCATGGGATCGTACTTAAGCCCGCTCAGTATCGGATTTGGTGCTAGACTGTTGATAAATTTGAGACGTACGGAACAAATCCAATGATTTGATGTTACTCAATTTATTAGACGAGCTTTCCATAAGAATATAAGTCTATGAGGTTTCATTGACTTAAAACTAACTAGTGAAGGCCGCCGATTTAACAGTTTTAAAACAGATTTACCAGTTCACCAATTTACCAGTGTACCAGTTTACCAGTTTCAAAGTTTAGCCAGTTTTCTAGCTGATTACGAAGCTTGTGGGCTATCTGATACGCGTCCGCCCCTTTGCCATTGGCGATCTAACTTTGAGCTCAAATATCTTGGTGTTCGGTTGTCTAATTTAAATAGTTTTTATACCAATCGATAGAGAAAGACTTGGCGCATCTAATGATACCAAGAATTTTTAAATTGGACAACTCAACACCGAGATATTTGAGCTCAAAGTTAGATTGCCAATCGGAGAAGGGGCTAGGCGTCCGATCAAATCAAATGTCCAATAATCGATTACGAATCTTCAATCAAATCAAATCTATTAATTGTAATAGCTCCCTTGTTTCAGTGGTTGACCTCTGCGATCCAAACCCGTGCGGAGCCGGCAACAATTGCACGGTGAACGACGACTTCACCTGGACGTGCAACTGCGCAAATCCGCTCTACTTTGGCCCAAATTGCAAATGTTAGCTATAATTGCATAAGTCTGCTATAATTCAGCTATAATAGTTTATAATTCTGCTAAATTGCATTTTAGTTGTGCACAAGTGTGCGCAAGCCAAACCCATTTGTTCCTATGGTTCGACTTGTGTGGAAACGCCTGGCATTGGTTCAGGATCCACTTGTGAATGTCTCACAAATTACTATGGATCGAGTTGTCAATGTGAGCACTGTTGATTCTCTAAATTTCTCTAAAATTGACAAATCTTTTCCAGATCCCGATCAGTGTGTGTATGAGCCGTGTAAACATGGTGTTTGTAGCAATGTGCAGCGTGGACTCAACTCCACCTACCAGTGCAAGTGCGAAAAGGGATGGTCGGGAAGCATTTGCTCTGTTGGTGGGTATTCCAGAGTTGACAAAAGAGTCAAAGCCAAGCCAAAGCCAAGATCTTAGACCAATGGTAGGGTTGCAGTTTCAGGCAAAAGCTAATTGAAAGACTTGACCTGGCTTTTTATTTGGTCGAATACGAACTAGGGAACTGTTTCAACTTACCACCGATTTTCGAAACCGGACCTACCGTAAATACTGTAATAGTACCCCACCCCCCTCATACAGTCGCGTAGTCGCAAAAGTTTTTTAGTATTTCATTTTTTTCAAAGCGCCCGTACTTTCAAAAAATGCGTCTTTGGTATCAAAAAATAGCCCTGAATTTCAGCTATTTTTTGATACTTTTTTTGATACTAGTTCACTCAATAGTCAGTTCACTTGGCTATAAGTCTAATTTTTGATTCCCTACAACTTTCCTATTGACACCAGAATTGGTTTCTTTTGAAGAAAGTGCTCAAACTGTGACATATGAACATCTCCAGTCCTGCATTTTTGAGTCTCACACTTGTCTCACACACAAACCAAAATCCTACTACGAAAGAGGAATCCGCAAATTGCTTGTAAAATGGGCAGAAGTCGTCAATAATAATGGAAATTATTTGGAATGAATTGATGGTTTTATGTTAAATAAATTTTAGTAGAAAGTCCTACAGTTTTCAATTCACCAACCCAATATTTGCCACAGTAAAGTAGACCGAAAATCAGCTCTAATAAAATTCGTCCAATAAAACGAATAAGAATGAATATTCATGGTTTTAGCTAAAGAATTTAGCTAAAGAATTCTATCGAATTTCAAAGCCAATTTCTGTTTAGATATCAACGAATGTCTGTGCAATCCGTGTCAAAACTTTGGCACCTGTTCCCAGGTTAAACCACCCGCCGATCCATTTTATAATTGTGCTTGTATTCCGGGAACAACTGGGACAAACTGTGAAATTAGTAAGTCAAAATGGGCACTTTATCCTTTTGCACTCACCTATTCTAGATCCAAACGATTGCCCCAAACAACCGTGTCACGGGAACGAGCAGTGCTCACCGTGCAATGTAACCGATCCGAATGGGCTATGCGTCGATGGGTTGGTTGATTAGTGCTATTCTTGGGCTCTTGATTTTACCCAATAATCTTCTTCGAAAGTTTGGTCTTTTGTCCCATTTTGTCCCAACAAACCCGAATTTCTTGATCCCAATTTCAACATGACTTTTTTCAAACAAACAGGCTAACTTTGAGTCTATTGGCTAGCTGTGTTATGAAGAATTTTCGGTACTTGTGATTTTCTAGCGGTCATTTTCATTTTCAAATTTAAATCAAGCTTTTCAAATTCAGCTGCAATGCAAATTTGCAATTTAAAAGAAAATCTGACATCAACATTTGCTAATCTTGCATTGCGAGGAGCCAAAAAGCCAAAAAAGCCAAAAAAGGAGCCAAAAAAGTCAAATGTAGCAAAATCTATAAGAAATCTCCCTATAGGAGCGTCGCGTAGTCTAGGTTTACACTCAAAGAACCACTCATACAGTAATGGACATAAAGTCACCTCGTGAATTTTTCTCCATCTTTGAAGAGCTATAACTCCAAGCCTTTCCATTGTAGACTGGAAGTGTTATAGCGATTCTGTATGCTTAAAACAAGCTCTATAAGATGGTTTATTTGGTTTTTAAAATTCTTTTTATTTTTGACACATTTTGGGGTGCGCAAAATAGGGTTCAAAAAAAACAATCTTTTCAGCGCTGTTTTTCTTGTTGATGCCGAAATGTGTCAAAATAAAAAGAATTGAAAAAAGCAAATACATCATCTTATAGAGCTTGTTTGAGGCTTTCAGAATCGCTATAACACTTCCAGTCTACAATGGAAAGGCTTGGAGTTATAGCTCTTCAAAGATGGAGAAAAATTCACGAGGTGACTTTATGTCCATTACTGTATGAGTGGTTCTTTGAGTGTAAACCTAGACTACGCGACGCTCCTATAGGGAGATTTCTTATAGAATTTGCAATAGATTTTGTTACATTTGACTTTTTTGGCTCCATTTGCCATTTGTCTTGACATTTATTTTTGCTCGCTTGAGTAACAAATTAAAGTAAAGAATTGGTAATTTTTTTAATATTGAATATTTACAATATCTTGTTTCAGTTACAACGAATGGAGTTGTCAATGCTCTCCACAATACACCGGCCCCCAATGTGACATCAATATAATTATCTACAATGTGATGATGGACATTTTTGGGCAAATAGACGACGACATGCTATCGGTTCTCAACCAAGAAAGACTTAAAACAAAAGTTTTCAGTTGTTAAACGATTTGCTCTCAAATCCGGCAATGATCAAAGATATCGTTCCATTCATTCTCGGTTTGGAATCAATGGATAATCGAACGGAGATGAGTTATACATTCGACGAGATGTTCGTGTGGGCTGCGTATGAGGAGAAGACGCTGAATGGGTACTTTTTCAAGTTTTTCAACAGCTTTTCAACAGCTTTTCAACAAAACCGTTTGTTTTTTCAGCAAAAATCCTCAGAAATTCAAATTCTTAATCAAAATTTCCCTTAGAAACACAGAAAAAAACAAGATTTTTATTAAGATTTGAAGTCGAAATCGAAAACGAAATTTGTCCGCAGTTTTCTAAAGGCGAAAGCGCCAAAAAGCATCATTATTCGACCCTATAAAACATTGAATTTTAACCATTTTTACACTAAAAGAAAGCCAAATGTTTACAGAGAAATAATCTGTGAAAAGTTTGCAAAAATATTAAATTTGAGCCAAGTTATGAATTTTTTTTTTGGTGAAAAAGGCTTTGAGTTTCACAAAAATCTTCATAACTTTGCTCAAATTTGAGATTTTTACTTTCTCTTTTTAGATAAATAATCTACAGAGATTTTCCTATTTTATGCAAATAATCGGCTTGAAATTTCATTGAATTTTTATTATAAAATTGGACTGAGATTCAGCAAAAAGCTCATTTTCGCACTAAATTCAAAACAAAAGGTTTTTTCGTTTTAGTTTTAACTTCAAGCTATATTTCATTTAATAGCTAAAAATGTTTAGTACTAAAATCATTTGTCTAAATATGTCTAAAAAAAGTATTGCAATATTTTAGTAGAAAAAAAAACAGAAGCCTTTCCGTGAAAATTCTGATTTATTTTGATAAAGCTCATTTTTCAAGGTCACCGACTTTGACAAGGTTTTTAAGGTACTTAAGGTTTGAATTTCGCAAAACAGAAAACGCCATTTTGTAGAGCGCATTTGAATTGACTAAAATCCGATGTTAATTCAAAACTGAAGACGTGATTTGGCAAAAAATCGAGGTCGCAAAAAGGGTGCCGGCGATGGTCTCTTTTATATTCTGGCTGGATATCTTGAGTCCGTTTAGCATATTATATTAGCATAAAAACTATAAAAATGTATAATATTCTAATTTTATTCCTAGTTATAACCAGTAAAGGTTTACAATACTTTTAAATCATTCTAATATTTCAACTAGACTCAATTTGAACTCTTTCAGATCTCGAGACTTCTACGGTTTCAACGATGTGGTGCTAGGCAATTGCTTTACATTTAATCATCGGCTCAATGAGAATCCTTACAAGAAAAGGATGTTTGGAGAAGTTGGAGGCGAGTGATTGCCGAGAAATTACTGAACCAGCTTTTGGAGAAATTATTGAACCAGTTTGACCGTAATTATTAATGTGTGTAGTGCCGAAAGTTCGTCAAACTCGAACAATTCAAACTTTTAGAGAAGAACTATTAGGTTGATGCATAAGTCTTTTTGTTCCTTTTCGTCTGCCGTTTCAAGCCAACAAATGCACCAATTAAACTACGGTTGATTTCATTAGAAAAACCAATTATTTTTCTGCAAAATAACATTAAAACGGGTTTAAAAATATTTAATGCCTGGATTTTCTTGAGAGTATGAAGTCGGGTAGTCAAAAAGGGCTAACTCGATGATGCGGTTTAGACACCTTAGCTAAAGAAAACCTATCTTCGTGTCAATAGATAAAAGATAGAGAAAAAAAACGTTTGATATTTCAGAGAAATTCATTCAGCCAATTTTTCCGTAGAGTTTTTTATAGATTTTTACAAAATTTAGAGAAAAAAGTGTGATGGCGCAGAGCCAAGTAGGAGATGGAGAGATTTAAAAGGATCCTAGAGTTGACTAGATGAATGTTCTTCTTCTAAGTGGATCTAAGTGGATGTTGGTGATGAAAAATAGCTGATCTAACTAAATGAATACTTAGAAACTCGAAGAAATACTGGCTGGAGGGTAGAAGGGAAAGGTTTTCGAAGACGGCTAGCTTACGGTAGATGGGGGTGGCTACTTTGCGTCAATTTTTTTTGCGTCGCTATGCAACTCGCCATAACTTTCTTTTAAGTGGCTCAATCTTTATGCTTTTGGTGTCATTTTGTAGATCTCAAGAAGCGTAACAAAATGACACCAAAATCATAAAGATTGGCCAACATAGAAGAAAGTTATGGCGAGTTGCGCAAGAAATTAGGCTCAAAGTAGCCACTCCCCTAAAACTTTATCAAACTTTATGCTCAAACCTTACAATTGATTAATTGATTAATTGATTAACTGAATATCGTTTAAAACATTGATTTAAAGGGTATTTAAATGGTCGATGGATCCAAATAAAGTTGTAATCTCCTCGCTGGGTTTAAACATCCATAATTTTTCCAAAAGAAAACTTTGTAGAAGAGCCCAAGATGCTTCTTTTAGTCTGAGCTGAAAAACAATTCTTTAGTTGGATTTTAAAACGTTTATTTGTTAAGTATCAGGATCACTTGCTGTACTTTGAAGTAAAGCAAAGACTTTCAGGACTTCGAGTGAAGCTGAGAGTGAATGCCGATGAGTATCTCCCGTGGATTGACACAGAAGCTATGGAGGTACGAATTACTGGAGCTTGGAATTAGATAATGAAACAAAGATAAACCATGACACAAAAGCCAAACCATCGACAAAAGCTTATGTATCTTGTTTTCGGTCTTCGTTCACACTCCCGCCGAGTACATCTCATCAGAGTCAGTACGATACAATGCTCGCCCACAAACGCAGACCCAATTCGTTCCAATGTTGGTGAGTAAATAGGAAAGTAATAGTAATAGTAAAGTAAAGTAAAGTAAAGTAAGTAAAGCAATTATAGTACTGTAAGATTTTGAATTTAAGAATCAATTTTTCAATTGATCAATCAATCGATCAATCAATCAATCAAATGAACCAATCCAATCAAATGATCCAATAAAATCAATTGATCCAATCGAATCAATTGATCAATCAATCAATTGATCCAATCCAACCAACTGATCAACGAATCAATTGATCCAATCGAATCAATTGATCCAATCCAACCAACTGATCAACGAATCAATTGATCCAATCCAATCAAATGATCCAATCAAATCTATTGATCAATCAATCAATTGATCCAATCCAATCAATTGATCCAATCAAATCAATTGATCCAATCCAATCAACTGATCAACGAATCAATTGATCCAATCCAATCAAATGATCCAATCAAATCAATTGATCAATCAATCAATTGATCCAATCCAATCAATTGATCCAATCAAATCAATTGATCCAATCCAATCAACTGATCAACGAATCAATTGATCCAATCGAATCAATTGATCCAATCCAATCAGTTGATCCAATCAAATCAATTGATCCAATCCAATCAATTGACCCAATCAAATCAATTGATCCAATAAAATCAATTAATCCAATCCAATCAATTAATCCAATCCAATCAATCAATTGATTCTTAAATAAATTTCCACTTTCAATTGAACACAAGTTTTAGACTCAATACAGCCGTTTGGGTGGAAAGTACGGAGTTTGTGTGAACACGCCAAGTGAAGTGAAATCGTTTTACTACGCTGGCGGATACACGACTGATGTGGGTAGAAAAACGTTAGAGCATATCAATTTTATTAACACATTGACGACGGTTAGGGCCACGAGTGACCCTAGATAAAACTTCCACTTGAGACGATTAGGGCCACCGGTGACCGTAAAGTATAATTTCCGTATCATCAGTATCATCATTTACCCCTTCCCCTTCCCCAATTGCCAGCAAATGACAATCTAGGATTAATTCTGGGGTTATCACTCCCATTCATCCATATCGTTTTCGTCTAGTTCTGAATTCGAAGAAATCATTTCACTTTCTGAATCTTGTACATCCTGTACATCTTGTGCATCCTGTACATCTTGTGTATCCTGTACATCTTGTGCATCCTGTACCTCTTGTGCATCCTGTACATCTTGTGCATCCTGTACATCTTGTGCATCCTGTACATTTTGTGCATCCTGTACCTCTTGTGCATCCTGTACATCTTGTGCATCCTGTACATCTTGTGCATCCTGTACATCTTGTGCATCCTGTACATCTTGTGCATCCTGTACATCTTGTACATCGGATCTTGTACATCATTTCATTCTCAGCGAATTGAATTTCTTTATCCTCATCACTGAAGAGAAAGATGATCTTCGACCAACCTTCGAACATCATCTTTCTCTTCATTGCTCAACATCTAAATTAACAAATTAATGATATAATTTGATTGCAAAAACAAAAGAAAAACATCATTTAAGAAGAAAATGAAAAAAAAAGACACAATCACGCTTTCGGTCTTTAGTTGTTGGCTGCAGATGGAATTCATGTCCCAATTAACCTCGTCGTCAATGTGTTAAACGTTTTCCTTTTCAAATTCATATACTAGGCTGTAAACTAATATTAAACTTATATATTTTTCTATATTTTCAGTAAAATTTTCAACCAAATCTGTGCAGCCGTTTTTTTTGAATTTTCGTTTGAACAAAAGTCGACAAATAAAGGATTTTGATCATATTAGGCGCTCTGGGTAACGTGAAATTTGTGGAAAACGGCGGGATGAATTTTATTGGTAATTTTACTAAAAAATTGAACAAAGATAGACCTTTCTTTGGCATAGAAAGTTAGTATTAGTTCCTATCAAAAAAGTTGCCAATTGCCAGTTGCCAAAAAAAATTGCAAAAGTTGATTCTCGCGAATTTTCGTCAATTTTCGTCATTACTCGTGTTTGCGCTCTTGAGAAATCCGAAAAACGAGAGCTTTTCCAAATTGCCAACAACGATTTTGAAGAGGAAATATGAATCTTTCCAATGGTGTAGATCTTTCCAATGGTTTAGATCTTTCCAATGGTGTAGATCTTTCCAATGGTGTGGATCTTTCCAATGGTGAAGATCTTTCCAATGGTGTAGATCTTTCCAATGGTGTAGATCTCTCCAATTGTGTAGATCTTTCCAATGGTTTAGATCTCTCCAATTGTGTAGATCTTTCCAATGGTTTAGATCTTTCCAATGGTGTAGATCTTTCCAATGGTGTAGATCTTTCCAATGGTGAAGATCTTTCCAATGGTGTAGATCTCTCCAATTGTGTAGATCTTTCCAATGGTTTAGATCTCTCCAATTGTGTAGATCTTTCCAATGGTTTAGATCTTTCCAATGGTGTAGATCTTTCCAATGGTTTAGATCTTTCCAATGGTGTAGATCTTTCCAATGGTGTGGATCTCTCCAATTGTGTAGATCTTTCCAATGGTGTAGATCTTTCCAATGGTTTAGATCTTTCCAATGGTGTAGATCTTTCCAATGGTGTAGATCTTTCCAATGGTGTGGATCTTTCCAATGGTGTAGATCTTTCCAATGGTGTAGATCTCTCCAATTGTGTAGATCTTTCCAATGGTTTAGATCTTTCCAATGGTGCAAATCGTACTTCATTTGATGCCGTCAACATTTAACATTCCATTTGTTTAGTGAAAAAGCCCGGTTATTTAGCTTCAAAACTTCAAAATTTAGGGTTGCATTCGTTCTTGTTATCAAGATGCGGTGATGGAAACGTGTGAGTGCATGGATCCACGTTTTCCGATGCCTGAAGGAGCAATTTCCTGTGACTTGAAATCAAGTGAGCTAGTAGTGCAAGATTTTGGAATCAATAGCTCCATAATAGCAATATTAAACTGAATCTATTAAACTATTAAACTATTAAACTGAACAAGTCAAATACTTCGATTCATACTCCAGGAAATTGTGTTGATGGAGTGTCAAGTCGTGGAGATCCGTCTCTCTGGCCCAGTTGTAAATGTCCACTTCCTTGTTTCAACGAATTCTACACAACATCCACCAGTCAAAGTCCTTATGTCACGAATGTAAGATAGAAAACAGTGAAGCGAGTCTTTCTATTCATTTACAGCAAGCTGCTTGCTGGGGATTGCCCGACGACGAGGTCGGGAATTGCACACGAGCTTTACAGGATACGGTCATCGTTGAAGTGAGTGCAGTCAATCGATTTCTTTTATATATCAATACTTTACTTATTTAAGCCTGAAAAAATGAAAACGGAAAATGTTTAATTGAAAAAATGATACAAAATAAACTTATTAAACACAAAAAAAGAGAAAAATTGATTCTATTCAAATTAAAATTCGAATTTCTTAAATAAATAAATGATAAATCTGGATTTAAACATTATCTCCAAATCAATTTACGTAAATTTCTAAGAAACAATAATGTTATAAGAAAATAAGATAAAAGAAAATGCCTAGAAATGGAAGAAGGCCAAATTAACCGACTAAATTCAAGACTTTTGCGTTTTTGCATAGAAGTCTAATGAATTTAACCGGTTTGTATGACTTTGAAAAGTATAAAAAGACTTTGATTTACTATGCTTTGGCTTTGCTGATATGCTTTGGCAACAAATTCCAAATTCTAGGAACTATTGGCAAAGAAATTGAGTGAAGTCTCACTTAAGGATTTGACGGGAAGAAGTTTATGGAGTAATTTGGGTTCATTGAAAAGATCTTATCAAGTAAACTTAGAAAAGAAGGCTTGACTAGATTTTTGCCAAACCCAAAGTTTAGGTAACAGACACGGGCCTGGATTTCCAACTCTTCGCAGAGACGCCGGCTGCAAGCGTGAGTTTTTCAAGTTACAGGATGTTCAGTATTTACGATGACTTCTTTTTGGCAGACTAGCTCCCAAGCTCCAACTTCAACCCTAACATGTTATATAAAATATTGAAGCTCTTAACCTTGGCTACATTTATCTATTAAAAGTTTCCCGATTCGAGATATACAACTCATTTTACAAGCCCTTGAAGGAGTACTATTAGGTTGTCCGGAATGAAAATACCCTTTTAATGAAAAACAAATCTATCTCCACAAAAAGAAAAAAAGGCGCTGCAATCCAAAAGATATTCTCCGTTGTTGGCAATAGTCTTTCTCCATTTTTCTTTCAAATCTCGGATCCCTTTGCTGAAGAAATCCTGAAGCTGCGAGTCAAAGTATTGGTACCCAAATTCGGACTTCGCCGTGATCCTTGAAGTGTTTATCGGTCAGGAAGTGCTGCATAGATCGAAATAAGCGGTAGTCTGAGATCTGGACTATACGGCGGCTGCGGGAGACATTCCCAATTCAATTCCTCGAGTTTTTCTTGCGTCATCTTTGCTGTGTGTGAGCGCGCGTAATCTTGCAGATATCTCACAGTCGATGCGTTCCACCTTGATTCTTGAGAGCCTGGTCTAAAAGTTTCAGCTGTTGCACATATACATCTGAGGTAACTGTTGGACGAGAATGTAGAACCTCAAAGTGTATCAGACCACGGGAATTCCACCAAACAGATAACATGGCTTTTCTTCCATCCGGATCACGTGGTGGCGTCGTTTTTTGACTGTTCTCCTGGACTTAACCACTTCTGTTTCCGCGATGGGTTATCGTAGTAAATCCATTTTTCATCGGCCGTCACAATAGTGTTCCAAAAACCTCGATTTTTTGATTGACGAAGAAGAATACCGGCCATAGTCGCTCGAGTAGCTTTATTAGCGTCACTAAGTTGATGGGATACCCATTCTCCGACGAGATTCGCTTTACCCAAACGGTGTAAATGGTCCGCAATTGTTGTGTGGCCTACAGCAAACATTTTTGTAAGTTCCCGAGTCGACAAGGTTGGGTCATCTTCTATGGCTTCTCGAAGATCGTCATCGTGGAGGGAGTGACCACGTCCTCGATCCTGTAGAGTTTCGTCTCCCTCTCTAAATCGTTGAAACCATTTTTTACAAGCTTCCTCAAAATAAGCAGCTTCTCGAAAAAATTTCAAGATTGAACTATAGCTCTCCCGGACACTTTTTCCTTGTTTAAAGTCGTAGAGCAAGCACACCCGAATTCGGTACTTCTGATCTTCCATTCGAAAAAAGTCAAAATTGTAAGGCAGTAAATTTTTATAAAAACATAGAGTTAGAAAAGATATATAACTTTAAAACAAAACACTTCTCTCAAATAGTGTTGCACTTATAAATCAACCAGAAACGTTTTCTAAATCAGTTTTTCGCGAGGAATTCGAATTTCTTACTTTTAAAATCGTATCCTTTATCTAAAATTACCAAAAATGCAGAAAATACAAGCACGGAAACCTTTGGCGCACCCTGTAATCAAATCTTCATCCTAATCTTACAATGCTAACGTTTATCTGATGCTTTTGATTCAATTTTGATTGATTGGTTTAATATTGAAGTAATAAGTAAGACAATAAGTGTCATAGTGTGATATCAAAGCATTTGAAAGCAAGCTTTCTTTCAGTTCAATCAATTCATCGGTCAATTGGGTGGTTTGCTCGGCGTTTTAATGGGTGTCAGCTGTATCACTTTCATCGAATTCGCCATTCTCATCGCTTACATTTGTCATATTTGTTGTTTTGCTAAGAAGAAAACGTGATTTTAGATATTGATTATCGTTAAAATTTTGTATAAATTTTAAAACAAAACAGTTTTAGTTGAGTCGGTTCACAAGACTCGAGGCTAAATATTACAATCAACAAACAAACGAGACAATAACTCACGATCGAGAGATTTTAGATCAGTGCTTGACAATGTGATTTGATTGACAAGACTCAGAGCTGAAGATTTTCGAATATATCTCATCAAAGAACAACTTACGGTCATGACAATCTGAATTACTTGACAATGTTACATGTATGCTTGAAAAGAGAATCAATATTTCTAAAAAATCCATTTCCAAGAGTCCATTTTCAAGAGTCTAACAATCCATTTCCAAATTCTTCCAGCTTTTCTTATCAAAACATAGGCGAAGCTCTGGATTTACGCGAACTGGCGAACCGTGAGAAAGCATTGGGAAAATAGTCACGAAAGTCTTGTTTGGGAAACTTTTAGGAAATGAATGAAACTCGATTCTCGATTCATTGGTTGAGCAAAGGAGAAAGGCCGATTCCGACATCACATCCAGAACTTCACGGAAAGAAAGTTATGCTGTCGATCTTTTGGAATATGAAAGGAATCGTTTATTTTAAACTACAAAAATCTTCAAAAACTATAACTTCTCAAGGCTACGCCAAACAGCTGAAGAAAGTTGATGAAATTCTACGAGAAAGAGGTGTTAATCCAAGGACAATCCATTTACTCGCTCACAATTTCCGGGTACACACATCAAACTTGGCTCAAAACACCATAGAAGAATTAGGCTGGAAACTTGCCTCATCCGTGCCTCATCCGCTCCATTCGCCTGATATCGCTCCCTCAGATTACCACTCGTTCCTGTCTATGCAACACTCTCTATGTCTATGTCTATGCAAAGCTAAAGTTTAACAATCCTGAAGAAGTCGAAATTTGGGTGCAAGACTACTTTGCATCCCAGGACCCTGAATTTTTCGAATCAGACATCCGAAGTCTACACAAAAAAATGTAAGAAAATAGTTGATAATAATGGCGAATATCTTTTGGAATAAAGTTAGTTTCTTATTGATTTTTGGGTTGTTCAATTGTTGGTTATAATCCGCAGTTTCTTTTGCAAGGACCTAATAGTCACGAAAGTCTTGTTTGGGAAACTTTTGGGAAATGAATGAAACTCGATTCTCGATTCATTCAACTCAGAGACATTCAGATAACTCTTCAATTTGACAATGTGGCTTGAAAAGAGATCTCAAAGCACTTCGTTGACGAATCCTTCAGGAAAACGAACGGAATTCACGTTTCTCTTGTCGCGAAACTCGACTTTGTTCAACATCGTGCTGTTCATCCATCAAGCTTCCCCAATATCGAGCTGGTTTCATTTGAGTCTGAATATTGATATTTCATAAGCAAAAAACTAGTTTCCTCAACTAAAAATTGAGTTGCGAGCGTCATTTTGGGTTTTCCTCACAAATGGTTGCTGTTGAGGTGTCGCCCGGCCTCCAAACATTTCTAAATCGTTTTTTACGCAATAAAATACAATAAGAAACTGTTTTAGATAAAAAATTGGGAATGGTGACAATCAGAAGCTGTCAGAAAAATATGGTGACAATCAGAAGCTGTCAGAATAATATAGCTTCAATCAAAAGCTATCAGAATAAAATGGCTTCAATCAAAAGCTATCAGAATAAAATGGCTTCAATCAAAAGCTATCAGAATAAAATGGCTTCAATCAATAGCTTAGACTTTCTAGTGTCTCTATAAAGTTGAATTCTTCCTGATTTTCAGTATTTCGCCTGTCAAGGTGCCATCCTTAACGCCAACGACGATGATGTGGAGGGGAAAAGTCTTTGCCTGGACATACCACGAGCCAACCTTTCTGCCCATTTTCCTATGATCGATTCAAGCACTCCTGTCCGTGTGGATGCGTGTAAATTCACAGTTGAGATCATTTTCAAATAAGAGAAATACCAAGAGTTTAGATGTCTCCCGATAAGCACTACGTTTTCGATTGGCATCCCAAGTACAATCGGTGATCGGCGGCTGTATGTCGGGCAGTGGATTCAAGGTTTGTATTTGGGCAGTTCGAAAGTTCTGAGAAATTTTGAAAGAAGTAACAAGTTTTTATGAAACTTTAAACATTGGAAATCTGTTGTAGGTGGCGCCGGGTCTCGGCCGAGCGCTGGCGAATCTGGCCGCAGGAAACGAGTCCCCATTTGATTTGTCGGTGTTCAGCTTGAAGCGATTCGATCAACTCAATCAACACTAAATCACATGTATCATTTGAATTTCTAAATAAACTTTCTAAGTCTTTGTAAGTCAACTTTGCTTTCTGAAATTCACACATGATTAGAAGGAAAATAGACAAATCGAATCAGCAAAAATCAAAACATCAAAACATCAAATCATTTTTGTTGTTTAAAACAAACTTTCGATTCCAATGCTTGATCATAGCTAAAAGTAGAGTAAAAATGCTCAAAAATACTTGCAACAACTTTTTGATAGCCTCTCAGAAGAGTTCAAATTCGCACCGTCCAGCTTGAATCCACGACGGCTAACATTTTTTTGTGAGATAACCTTATTTGAAAGATTCTTGATGAAAGCCACGCCACCGGTTGCGGTCTTTTTCGACTCTTCTCGATGATCCAAAACGAGTTTATGATCCTCCCTTGGAGTTGTGACGCGTGGGCGACCTGTTTTAAGCTTTCGATGACGATTTCTAGTGGCATTTGCGTTGTGTGTGATGCGTTCAACTGTCCTCGAACCGCATTTGAATTTTCCCGCGATGTCCTTTTCTTTCTCTCCTCTATTTCTTGCTTCCGCAATTGCTTTTTTGTCTGGCATTTAAAAATACGCTCCAGGCGTCTGAAAAATTAAAAGGTTACAAAATACACAAAAAAAAAACGAGTATTATAATAAGTGGCCAAGACTTTTGTCCATTGTTTTTGTGACTTTTTTGTCATTTACGCTCATTTTTGTTGTTTAAAATAAACTTTCGACTCCAATGCTTGTTCATAGCTAAAAGTAGAGTAAAAATGCTCAAAAATGGTTGTAACAACTTTTTTATAGGCTCTCAGAATTTTTCGTTCGGTAAGAGTATAGTTTATCCCCCAACCACCGGTCCATAAGACATATTTTTCTGCGGTAATTTTATGCGTAACTTACAAAAACTTACAAAACTACAACTTACAAAAAGGTAACTCACAAAAATCGACATCTCAAAGCCGGGCCTTGCCTTTTTAGAAAATCCATGTAATCCCCACATGATGATTTTTCATCAAAAAAAATATGCTTTCCCAATTTTTTATCTAAAACAGTTTCTTATTGTATTTTATTGCGTAAAAAACGATTTAGAAAAGTTTGGAGGCGGGGCGACACCTCAACAGCAACCATTTGTGAGGAAAACCCAAAATGACGCTCGTAACTCAATTTTTAGTTGTGGAAACTAGTTTTTTGCTTATGAAATATCAATATTCAGACTCAAATGAAACCAGCTCTCTATTGGGGAAGCTTGATGGATGAACAGCACGATGTTGAACAAGTCGAGTTTCGCGACAAGAGAAACGTGAATTCCGTTCGTTGTCCTGAAGGATTCGTCAGCGAAGTGCTTTGAGATCTCTTTTCAAGCCACATCGTGAAATTGAAGAGTCATCTGAATGTCTCTGTGTTGAATGAATCGAGAATCGAGTTTCATTCATTTCCCAAAAGTTTCCCAAACAAGACTTTCGTGACTATTTTACCAATGCTTTCTCACCGTTCGCCAGTTCGCGTAAATCCAGAGCTTCGCCTATGTTTTGATAAGAAAAGCTGGAAGAAATTTTTTTCTTTTCTAAAACTTGGACACTTTTTCAATGTAGACTCTTGGAAATGGACTGTTTCGAAATATTGATTCTCTTTTCAAGCATACATGTAACATTGTCAAGTAATTCAGATTGTCATGACCGTAGGTTGTTTTTGATGAGATATATTCGAAAATCTTCAGCTCTGAGTCTTGTCAATCAAATCACATTGTCAAGCACTGATCTAAAATGTCTCGATCGTGAGTTATTGTTTCGTTTGTTTGTTGATTGAAATATCTAGCCTCGAGTCTTGTGAATCGAACCGACTCAAACTGTAAACCATTCTATCATCTCTTTGTTTCCATGATACTGTCGGATTTTGGCGACGAAAATGTGGCGGCACATCTAAACCTCTTGCAGAACATCTTGAATCCGTGTATTCAATTGAGAAAGACAATGAGTGAAAAGTAAATTTAAAGGCATTTCCCTAGATCATCAGTTTCAACAAGAATTCAGTATTGAGGCATTTCATATGGCAATCCCAATTTTTGCCTGACTTGTGCAAAGGAAATTTCAGCGAATTGGCGATGCCCATCATTGGCAGCGTTCTTTGGGCAGAATCCTACATTGGTTCTCTTGATGACATTCAACGTCTCACCGAATTTGCTCAGTTCAGCATTTATCCAAATGGGCACGTTTCTTTTGATTGTTGTTTTTGGTGTGAAAACTGGGTAAGACAAGCCTTCTGATAGCTCATTGGCAAAGTGCTCGTTCGGTAAGGGTGAGACGGCGAGTTTGATTCTTAGCCCCAACCGTAACCGTTGAGACGCTAAGATACAGGAACTGTTCGCTTTTATATTTTAATTTTACTTAGCAACTCGTCTAATCATTGTTCAACAAGGAGCCGAACTTGATGATTTGTTGGTCAAAATATTTAGGGAAGTAGAGACAAATTTCTTTAAATTCCCTCAGAATTTACGGAAGAAAGAAAGAACCTTTTTTTCTCAGAAAAATACTATTGTTGAGCAGATAGTTCAACTTGATGATTGGTTGGTGAAATTTGCAGAAGAAAGAAAGAACCTTGGGCTTATCTTTTTACAAATTCTCTTTATATTTATTTTACTTTGATTTGAATTGTTTACCAATACAATTAGATTCGACTTTCAGATCCGACTCGATTTCCGCGGCTGAGAATTTCATAACTACAGTAATGCTCAACGACCCAACAAGGAGAACCGATCAACAACCC